CCAAACTCCAAGGTAGGAATTTCGATGTGTGGCTTCCCTTAGACTACCCTTATGTTTACTGCGTGTTTACTGAACACTGACACTAGGTATCATGACATGGTTCCCAAACAATAGTCAGTGACTTCATTAGTCTGAGTATCACTAGAAAGGGGAGGTTGTGTCCAAGGGTGCCACGTGCAGGCCCACAGCTTAGGCAAGGAGGAGGGAAAAAATACAGAGGAATGGCACAGGAAATAAAAAAAGATAAAGAGGGAGGTACAGGAGTGCTGAAGGTAGGTCCTGTATGATTTCCATCTTGGAGATAGTAAATCGAGGCATATAATTTACTACTATTTATTGTTAATTTTTTGAGACAGGATCTTGCTCTGCTGTCCAGGCTGGTGTGATATTGGCTCACTGCAACCTCTGCCTCCTTGGTTCAGGTGATTCTCCTGCCTCAGCTTCCCAAGTAGCTTGGATTACAAGTGCACAACACCATGTCCAGCTAATTTTTGTATTTTTAGTAGAGACGAGGTTTCGTCACATTGGGCAGGCTGGTATCGAACTCCTGACCTCATGTGATCCGCCCACCTCAGCCTCCCAAAGTGCTGCGATTACAGGCATCAGCCACCAGGCCTGGCCTTATTTTATTTTTTTTGAGACAGGGTCTCACTCTGTCACCCAGGCTGGAGTGTAGTTGTGTGATCTTGGCTCATTGCAACCACTACCTCCCAGGCTTAAGCAGTCCTCCCACTTGAGCCTCCCAGGTAGCTGGGACCACAGATGTGTGCCACCACGCCTAGCTATTTTTTCGGTTTTTTTTTTTTTTTAAACGGAGTCTCGCTCTGTCGCCCAGGCTGGAGTGCAGTGGCGATCTCGGCTCACTACAAGCTCCGCCTCCCAGGCTTACGCCATTCTCCTGCCTCAGCCTCCCGAGTAGCTGGTACTACAGGCGCCCGCCACCTCGCCCGGCTAGTTTTTTTTTTGTATTTTTTAGTAGAGACGGGGTTTCACCGTGTTCGCCAGGGTGGTCTCGATCTCCTGACCTCGTGATCCGCCCGTCTCGGCCTCCCAAAGTGCTGGGATTACAGGCTTGAGCCACCGCGCCCGGCCTTTTTCGTATTTTTAAGAGAGACGAGGTTTTGCCATGTTGCCCAGGCTGAACTCCTGGGCTCAAGAGGTCCTCCCTCTTTAGCCTCCCAAAGTCCTGGGATTACAGGTGTGAGCCACCATGCCTGGCCTAGTTTACTATTTTTTGCTATTCTGCCTCATTTAAACTTCACACCAACTCTATAGATTATGTGTTATTTCATTTTTACAGATGAAGAAGCAAATGCCAGAAGATTAAGCACTTCATCCAAGGTCACTTGGCTAGTACAAGGACAGAGTTGGAACTCTTTTTTTTTTTGAGATGGAGTCTCGCTCTGTCACCCAGGTTGGAGTGCAGTGGCACGATCTCAGCTCACTGCAACCTCCACCTCCCGGGTTCAAACAATTCTTCTGCCTCAGCTTCCTGAGTAGCTGGGACTATAGGCACACACCACCATGCCCACCTAATTTTTGTATTTTTAGTAGAGATGGGGTTTCGCCATGTTGGCCAGGTTGGTCTTGAACTCCTGACCTCAGGTGATCCACCCATTGTGGCCTCCCAAAGTGCTGGGATTACAGGCATGAGCCACTGTGCTCAGCCATGAATTGGAACTCTTGACCAGGCTCCTCTGAGTTCACCATGCCATGCTCAGGCTGCTTTCATCAACAGAGCCAAAGCACTTGACCTCTTCGTGCCTTGGTTTTGCCATCCATGAAATAGGAAAATCATCCTAGTGTCAGAAATATAAAATGTCCTTGTCTGGTAGCCTTTGGAAGATCCACCTCTTTGGGATGGTGGTGGGGAGGTGTGCTCTCCTGGCAGCAAAGGGTGCCGGGGGCCTCTGCTGGACTGGAGAACTCTGGAAAACAGCCTCATTCCTGTCTTCAGCACATCTGACAGGCCAGAGGAGAAAGCCTGAAATAGAACTGGCTGCCCTTCACCCTCCACGGGTTCAAGAGAGCTGTTTGTCTAGCTCTGAATAACCCATTCTATAAAGAATATTCTGAGAATTTCCTTATGTGGCAGGGCACTGCACTGGGTGATTTCACTGGGCCGGAGGAGCTCTCCTCTCCATCCCTACCAGCAGAGACAAGAATGGGCACTATTCAGCCTTGAGGAATGAATGTGGAAAAGATGGAAAGATCTTTGAAGGCATGAACGGCTGTGACAAGGAAGGTGGGATACAGTTCATCTCCATCTCTGCTAGGCTTGGAGAAGAGGGGATGGACTTTGAATACAGCCACCAGGACTTAGATTTTAAAAAGAACGTTCTGATGGAATTGAGAATAATTTGCTCAGGATAGTGTCCTCCAGCTGCCTCCGTGTTGCTGCAGAGGACAAGATTTTGTTATTTTTTATGGCTCCATACTATTCCATGGTGTATTTTGTTCAGCACTTACTACCACCTGAGGTTATAAATTTAGTTGTTCATTATCTACCTTCTCCATTAGAATGTGAACTCCACGAGGGCAGGGACCTCATCTGGCTCTCCACTGTACACCCAGGGCCTAGCTCAGTGTCCAGTACGTGGTAGGTGCTCAATAAATATTTTTCTGAATGAAAAGAAACTTCATTCAGAGAAGAACCAATGCAGTGAAGGAGCCATATTTCACACTTTCATTTTTTTCTCTCAGAATTTCTGAATTCAGATCCATTCACTTCAGAGAATAACAGACATTTTCCAAATGTCTTGGACGAGAACACGCTCACTTCTACTCCTAACAGTTCGGAATGGCTTAATCTTCCTGAATAGTTGGATGAAGTTTCTTCCCCCTCTGTCTCATTATTAGAGACCAATAGAGTTATTCCTTGTTGATTAATTAATTTTTTTTTTTTTTTGAGCCGGAATTTCACCCTGTCACTCAGGCTGGAGTGCAGTGGCTCACTGTAACCTCTGCCTTTCAGGTTCAAGCGATTCCCCCACTTCAGCCCCCTGAGCAGCTGGGATTACAGGCATGCGACACTATGCCTGGCTAATTTTTGTATTTTTAGTAGAGAAAGGGTTTCACTACATTGGCCAGGCTGGTCTCGAACTCCTGACCTCAAGTGATCCACCTACCTCGGCCTCCCAAAGTGCTGGGATTAGAGGCATGAGCCACTGTGCCTAGCTAATTTTTTTTTTTTAATTCTCTAACTGTTAGGTCAAAAAAATGATGAGGGGAGGAAACTGAGGTGTCATGGGCAAGGCCCGACAACCAACAGGAAGGTGTTGCAGGGCGGGTTCCTTCTGACAGCTGTAAGGTAGGGTCCGCTCCACACCTCTCCCCTGGCTTCTGGGGGTTTACTGATCATCTCAGGTGCTCCCTGAATTGCAGACGCATCATCCCGATCTCAGCCTTCACATGGCATTCTCCCCGTGTGCATTTCTGTGTCCAATTTCCTCCTTCTAGTAAGAGCGCAGTCATATGGGAGTAGGCTCATCCTAATTACCTCATCTTAACTTCACCATGTCTGTAAAGGTCCCATCTCCAAATGAGGTCACATTCTGAGGTACTAGGGGTTAGGGGTACATTTGGGGGGTGAAGGAAACACTTCAAACATACCACTTTCTTTCCCTCTAAATGGGGATTAGAATACAATCTTTCTTCATATAATTGCAGTGCTTGTGAAAGTGTCTCGAAGAGGCTTGGTTCCTAGAAGTTCAGTAGACATCTGGTTTGCCTGAATGTGCACGTGCCTCGGAGCTGTCTGGGTCGGACTGCACCCTTAGGGAGCAGGGCTCAGGTGGGGTAATCATTCTGTGAGAGTCCAACACAGGTAAACAGGTGCTTGGCCAATGCATTTCTCTGATGGTGAAGAGGAAAGGCTGGAGAGAAAAATCTACTGATACGCCAGGGCTAGAAAAAGTCTGATACCAAGTGCTGGAGAGGATGTGGAACCTCAGGAGCCCCCGTGTGCAGCTGTCTGAGTGTGCACTGGTAAAAACACTCTGGCAATATGCCAAAAAGGCAAAGCTGTATATGGGACGTCCCAGCAATTCCACTCCTAGGTGTAGGTGTATACTCTAGAGAAATGCTGACACAGGTGCCCCAGGAGATGTGTGCAAAAATATTCACAGCAGCATTGTTTGTTAGACCTAAAAATGAAAAATAACCTCAATTTCCTCAATGTCATGCATGCATCTAGTGGAATACTATGTTACACAGCAGGTGAAGTCACTTAACTAGAGCTAGGCATATCATATGGATGAATCTCACTAACAAATATTGAGCAAAAAAGAGCAGACTGCAGAAGAATAAATACAGTGAGTAGGACAAAACCAACGATGTATTGCTTAGAATGCATATAGAAGTATTTGCATAAAGAATATAAAGAAGTATGGGCCTGATAAACACCGATTTCAGCAGGTGGAAGTGGAAGTGCACGGGGAGCTTCAACAGCTTATTTTTTAAACTGGTGATCAGTAAAGAGTACTGGTTATCTTACTCGTTATAACTTCTGTATATTTGAAATGTAACATTTTTTAAAGAGCCAGGACTTGAGGAGAGTCATATAAAGGAGACTGAGATGCCAGGGACCATTTCTACTTGTGGGAAGATTCAGAGGTGTTCCTGCCATTCCCTGGAACCCAGAATCCAGAGTAAATTAGTTAAAGACTCTGACATCTGCTAGGCGCGAGGGAAGAGACCTAAGGAGGTAAAGCTAGGAGGATGGGAGGAGGGAAGGACACTCTCGTGCTGCCCCTCTCTGATCTGAATCCAGTTATTGGCCTGCACGCCAGCCCTGGGCTGCGGAGGAAACAGCTGGGCGGCCCTGGGAAGCCTGGGAGGGATGCAGAGGAAGGGGGGGCCACACAGGCTGGGAGGGGCACTAGGGCTGCCGTCCCCACACAGTGACAGGCGCTTCCTTGCAAACCACCTGGCACAGGCACCCTGACAGTTTACAGTACTGTCTGTCTCTCCTTCTCTCTCTCTCTCTCTCTCACACACACACACACACACACACACACACACACACACACGCCCCATCCACCGCCCGCTCTGAACAGGACCCCAGCGTTGGGGACGGGGCCAAGTCAGCCAGCTGTGGGCCCTGCCAACCCTCCCTCTCTTCTAGGACTGGGTTTTTCCAGCCGGAGTCTCACTCCCTCTACAGCAATCTCGGGAAATTGGAGACGACGCGGCTGCTCCTGAACATTATTTATTTCTCTCCTCTTTCCCTCCCGCGGGGACCCTCCTGTTGGAAGGAGAGCTGCAGCACAGGACGGAGACAGGCAGGAAGAAGCAGAGAGGACTCAGTGACGCCCCTCTAAGCAGCCCCCGGCCCACTCCTCCAGCAGGGGCCATGAGCACCAAGCAGGAAGCCAGGAGAGATGAGGGAGAAGCCAGGAGAGATGAGGGAGAAGCCAGGACGAGGGGGCAGGAGGCACAGCTTCGAGACCGAGCCCACCTGAGCCAGCAGCGCCGGCTCAAACAGGCCACCCAGTTCCTGCACAAGGACTCGGCCGACCTGCTCCCGCTGGACAGCCTCAAGAGGCTCGGCACCTCCAAGGATTTGGTGAGGCATCCCCCTCCCCCGCCCGTGTCCCCTGGCCCTTTCCTTCCACTTCTCAGATCCTGAGCAGGACCAGAACGTGCAGACCCTCAGCTTTCAGGTCCCGCTCCCTTGCTGAGACGGGGAGAGGTCGTATGTCAACTTGAGGCTCTTCACTGGGGATGTTACCATGGTTTGGTGGCTCTGAGGGGTCCTATTCTCACTGCTTAGCTTCCCTGCCTTTTCCCTCTAATGGCCCAAAACTTGAGGGTGGTGAGGAGCTAGGCTGTTTAGGAGTGGGGGCTTACAGGAACACAGGAACCTTCTAGAGTGGTCACTTAAAACTGGGAGGGCCTGGAGGACTGGCCAGTTTAGGGTTGTGACTTCCTGCTCCCCCTGAACCACAGGTTCCCTCCACCAGGTCTGTCTATCCATTTGTCCTTTCTCCTCAGAATCAAAGCATCGGGGGGTCTCCATCCTTTCCAGGGCATCAGGGTTTTGTGTGGCTCTTGCCAGGGGCCCCTGGCCGCCTTGAATGCTGCTCCCCCCACTCGTAAGTGGAATAGACCTTCCAGGCTCCTCTCCTCCCATCGTCTGCAGCAGCTTTGGCCTCAGAGGAATGGGGCAGGGGAGTAACAGTAAGGATGTGAGTGGGCAGGGGACAACGGCAGATTCAGGCATTCCTCTCTGAGGCAGTGCTGACAAGCGGGGCCATGGAGCCACTTTGCTTGGGATCAGTTCCTGGCTCTGCCACTTACTAACTTGGGCAATTGACTTTACGTCTCTGTGCCTCAGTTTCTTCATCTGTTAAATGAGAATAAAAGCAACCACAGGTTTGTTGGGAGAGTTGTTAGAGCTGATATATTTAAAGCACTTAGAACAGTGCGTAGTAGCAGGCGCTATCTAAATGCCATGATTATTCCCCCAGCTACTATTCCATTTAGTCTGAGAAATATTCCTGGTCCCTGACCCATGGGAGAGAGGGAATCCTTTGTGGAAAGGCTTGGGAGCACTCGGTTCCCAGTCCCCTCTCCTAGTCTGAGAACAGGTACTCAACCAGGCCTGCACTGAGAGGTTGGAAGCGTATCTGCCGGCCTGCGCTCCACCAACTGCTTCTCCCAGGGAAGCTGAAGGCCAGTGCAGCGCCTTGTTACCTTTCTCTACTTAGCTCTCTCAGCCTGGGTGCCCACGCCAGGACCGCAGCCCAGAGGCCTGGCAATTCCCTGGCTCCCAGCAAGGAAAAGGGATTGCACTGAGACTTCAATTCAAGGAACTGCCAGGGGCTTATTCCTCCTTGCAGTGGCAGCAAGCATAGCTGAAAAACAGGAATGGAGCAGGGAAGTGGGTTCTCTGGTTCTCAATGGCTAGAACCTACTGGGGACCATCCTACATCTGTTTGGCCCCAGGAGAAGGTGCTCTACTGACATTGCCATCCCAGAGTGGCAGGTCCCGCCTTCTGACGAGAAAGTCCTGAGCTTTTCACCTCTCCCCTCTGCCCAGGATGTCCCCAGTTGATCTCTAGCAGTTACCTCCTGTGGCTTTGGGAGCAAAGACACGACAGGTAGGGGAGACCCCATTGTCTCCCTCCCTGGGATGGCTGTGGAGCAAACTGCACAACAGTGGGAGGGGCCTGAAGCCTGTGTCCATCGTGGGAAGTGCAGAGCCAGACTCTCCAGCCAGTCCCAGAGCTCGCTGAACTTTTCCCAGCACTGGGTCTCCTGCTGGCAGTTTCGCTGCCAGGAGCAACCCCAAGGGCCTCATTAATCTAAGGGCAGAAAAACAATCCCAGGCTCCCAAGGAGAGAGGGCAGGTGGAGAAGTGCATAGAGCCTGGGAGAGAGTCAGTCTGCAGCAAGCATTTATTGAGTGCCTACTAGATGCTGAGCCATGCCCTGGGATATAAAAATGAGCGAGGTAGACTCAGGGGCTTTCCAGGCTAATGGGAGAGTAAAATCCACACATAACATTTGTGAGAAGCATGGCAAAGGGAGCTAAGACAAGGGACCCCAGCTTGGGGTGTATGGAGAGAGAAGCATGAAGAGCTCAGAGAGGGTATCCTGGAGAAGGTACATCCTGCATGGTAAGATGTACACAGAATCCCAAACTTAAGATGCAACCTCTCTCTCAAATAAAGTGTGTTAAGTCAGTTCTTCAGTCTAGCCTCGAGAAGAGTGGGGAAGAGGAGTTTCAGGAAGAGAGGAGAGAGGAGAGAGGAGTGAGGGCATGGAGGCAAAAAGCAGCCTGGTATGAGTGGTGCTTCTGGGGCCCACAAACAGAGTGGCAGGGAAGGAGGCACGGCCCTGTCATCTGGGCTGTGGATCACCTTCAAAAGCTTGAGCTCCAGCAAGCAATGTAGGGGTAGGGGGTCTTTGATGCATTTTAAATAAGAGAGTACATGGTTAGTTTCATGTTTCACTTTGGTGCTTCTCAAACTTTAAGCTGCACACGAATCACCTGGGGATCCTGTCGCAATGAAACATCTGATTCAGTAGGTATGAGAGTCTGCATTTTTAAGAGGCTTCGAAATGATGTTAAAGTTGCTGATCTGAGGACCACGTTTTGGAGTAGCAAGGTTTTTAGCTTCCAGTCTGAAGCTCCAAGCAGATGTATTTGAAAGGTAACAGGTCTGGAGACAGGTTATGAACTTAAGAAGGTGTCTGAGGGATCCAAGAGAGCTGCGGGGAGTGTGGAACACACGCGGTAACAGAAAGGAAGGATGGAGGCCAGGTGCTGTGGCGTATGCTTCTGGTCCCGGCTGCTTGGGAGTCTGAGGCTAGAGAATGCCTTGAGCCAAGGAATTAGAGTCCAGTCTGGGCAGCTTAGCAAGATCCCGTCTTGAAAGAACAGAAGGCAAAAGAAAAGAAAAAGAAAGACGAGAGAGAAGGAAAGGAGGGACAGACTGATTCTACACAGGAGGCAAAACCGGCAGAATCTGGGAAGTGACTGGATGGAATGGGAGTGGTTGTAGATGAGGGACAGGTCAAAGATGATTCCCAGCATCCTAGTTCTTAAGAGTTTTCTGTTTGTTTGTTTTGTTTTGTTTTTTTGAGATAGAGACTTGCTCTGTCAACCAGACAGGAGTGCAGTGGTGTGATCTTGGCTCACTGCAACCTCTGCCTTCCGACACTTCAGCCTCCCAAGTAGCTGGGACTACAGGCACGCGCCACCACACCCAGCTAATTTTTGTATTTTTTTTTTTTTTTTGAGATGGAGTCTTGCTCAGTCACCCAGGCTGGAGCGTGGTGGCGCAATCTCAGCTCACTGCAAGCTCCGCCCCGCCGGGTTCCCGCCATTCTCCTGCCTCAGCCTCCCAAGTAGCTAGGACTACAGGCGCCCGCCACTATGCCCAGCTAGTTTTTTCGTATTTTTAGTAGAGACGAGGTTTCACCGTGTTAGCCAGGATGGTCTCGAGCTCCTGACCTCGTGATCCGCCCGTCTAGGCCTCCCAAAGTGCTAGGATTACAGGCGTGAGCCACCGCACCCGGCTGTATTTTTAGTAGAAATAGGGTTTCACCATGTTGGCCAGGCTGGTCTCGAACTCCTGACGTCAAGTGATCCACCCACCTTGGCCTCCCAAAGTGCTGGGATTACAGGTATAAGCCACCACGCCTGGCCTAGTTCTTAAGAGCTTCTTACTGTTTTTCATCACACCACCAACCCTGGGATTTGAAGCCCACTGAAGGATGAGGTCAGAGGGGAAGTAAAAAAACAAACCTCCTAGTTAAAAAAATATATAAGTTTGAGACAAAATTTCCCCCAAGCATACTAATTCCTGAAATGTCCCTTTAACTACTAAGTCAGTTTAACCAAGAACGGACCATTCTCCTCTTCCCATTTCCTCACTGCTGAACAATCTATGAGTGTCCAAGGAAAACGGCATGATTTGATACTGGGGCTTACTCTGCTCTCATTACCTGACGGCTGGGACCCTAGGGTCAGCTCCTAGGATAAGGCTCAGGTCTGGGGTGGGGGGTTTGGGGGAGCATCCTGGGATATCTAAGTGGGGTAACTGAGCAGCCTGGATACCTGGGTTTAGAACTGCCTACCTTCATTGTTTCGTGATGGAGCCAGCAGCCGCACAGTGTGATCCAAAGACGCCTGGTAGAGGGAAACCCGAATTGGCTTCAGGGGGAGTCTCCCCGGGTGCAGGCCCTGATTCATGGCCAGGAGAGCAGGAGGAGGACCAGCAGGACAGAGATTCCAGCTCTTCTGGTCAACTGCAAGGTGAGAGGCCTCCCAGGGACACACTTTCATTAACAACCCTGCCTGCGCTCACTTCACCTACTCTCCTTTCTGCCCCGATGGCAGCGGGAAGGAGGGAGAAAGGACACGTCTCTCCCTAGCTTGGACCTAACCACGATCCTCTACCTCCTTCCTCCCTGCCCCAACCCATCTTTCCTTGGTGCAACTCCGTCTGTCACCACCACTACTCGGCCCCCTTTCCTTGGTCAAAATACAGTACTTAAATTAAGTACTCCTCAGTGTGCTCTACACAGACGAATGGTGTGCGTGCATGGATAACGTAATTCTGGAAAAAACTCATGTGTTCCAAGGCATTGGCCCTGTAATCTCTGGAACCATTTAACCACTCAGTCACTACTGAACGTTCCCAATAAATTCCCAGTGGTCCTGGGCCACCGTCTTTGCTCTGTGCTGCTTCTACCTGGATTGCTCTCTTCTTGCTCTGCAGTATTAGTTCTGGGGCGGTGTCCGCATTCTGCCAGAGGCTTTGACAAAGCCCAGATCAGGTTGTTACCTTCCCGCCCCGCGTTTGAAACCTTTTCTGATTCTTGCCCAGCTTAGGAAACAGGGCTTTGCCTGCCCTTCCCAACCCTCGTAAGCCATGGTTACGTCACATTTCTTTTTTTTTTTTTCTGTTTTTTCTTTTTTTTTTTTTTTGTGTGTCTTGTTTTGTTGAGACGGCGAGATCTCGCGTCTGTCGGCCCGGCTGGACGCGCGCAGTGGGTCGATCTCGTGGGCTCGACTGCAAGGCTCCGCCCCCCAGGTTCACCCATGTGTGTCTCCTGCCCTCACCCTCCGCCCGGCCCGAGTAGCTGGGACCTACCAGGCGCCGGGCCACCTCCTCGCCCGGCTGTGTAGTCTTTTGTTGTATTTGATTTTAGTAGGGAGACGCGGGGCGGTTTCAACAGTGGTTAAGCCAGGATGGTCCTCGCCCTCTCCCTCGAACCCTCGTTGATCGCTCCGGTCCTCGGCTCCCAAAGTGGCGTGGGATTACCAGGGCTTGCCAGCCCACCGCCGCACCGCGGGGACCGCACGTCAGTTATCCTTTTTTAAAAATATTTTTTTTTTTTTTTTTGAGACCGGTAGTCTCGGCTCTGCTCAAACCGGGCTGGAGTCCCAGTGGCGCCGACTCGCTTTCCTGGGTCACTGCAGGCCTACTGCCGCCTCCTGCGTTCAAGCCGTATTCTTCCTTTGCACCCCAGCCTTCCCAAGTAGCGTGGGGGGATTATAGGCCCGGCACTGCCACTGCTTTGCTAATTTTTTGATTTTTTAGATAGAGGACGGGGGGTCTTCACATGTTGCGTCGGCTGTGTCTCAAATTGCCTGGTGCTGGGATGTACAGGATGTAGCCCACCTGCCGCCGCCCGGCCCGTTTTTTTTTTTTTTGGAAGACAGGAGTGTTCACTGCTTGTTGCCAGGCTGGACTGCCAATAGTGTGAGTGCTCGGGCTGTACCGCGCAACCCTCCACCTCCCGGGGTTGGTCAAGCAATGTCTTCTTGGCCCTCAGGCCTCGCTGAGTAGTCTGGGATTAGCAGGCCAAATCCACCGGGCCTGCTACTTTTTTGCCCATGTTTATGTAGAGACGGGGGTTTCTCCAGGTTGGTCAGGTGGGTCTCGAACTCCTGACCTCAGGAGATCCATCCACCTTTGGCCCGCTCCCAAAGTGCTGGGATTACAGGTGTGAGCCACTGTGCTCCCTGACTTTTCCAGTCCTTTTATTTATTTTTTTAAGATACAGGGTCTTACTCTGTCACCCAGGCCGGAGTGCAGTGGCATGATCAGAGCTCACTGCAGCCTCAACCTCCTGGACTCAAGCGATCCTCCCAGCTCAGTTTTCTGAGTAGCTGAAATCACAGGTGTGCGCCACCACACCCGGCTATTTTCTTTTTTTTTTGTATTTTTAGTAGAGATGGGGGTTTCACCACATTGGTCAGGCTGGTCTTGAACTCCTGGCCTCAAGCGATCCTTCCACCCTGGCCTCCCAAAGTACTTGGATTATACATAGGTGTGGGCCATGGGGCCGGGACATTCACATCCTTTTATAGTCCTTAATAGTCCTTAACTTTCTTTTTTTTTTTTTTTTTTTGAGACGGAGTCTCGGCTGGCTCCCAGGGCTGGAGTGCAGTGGCCGATTCTCGGCTCACTTGCAGCTCGCCTCCCCGGGTTCGATTTGCCATTTCTCCCGCCTCAGGCCTCCCAAGTAAGCTGAGACTACAGGCGCCGCCCACCCAACAAAGCCGGACCTAGTTTTTGTATTTTTAAGTAGGAGACGGGGTTTTCACCCATGTGTAACCCAGGATAGTCCTCGATCTTCCTGACCTCGTGATCCTCCCAGCCTCGGCCTCCCCAAAGGTCGCTGGGTTACAGGGCTTGAGCCACCCGTAGGCCTCGGCCGTCCTTAAAGCTTTTACAGGCGGTGGCTCACGCCGTGTATCCCGCACTGGTGGGGAGGCTCGAGAGGTGGCTGATCACGGAGGTCAGGAGAATCGAGGACCATCCTGGCCTAAATCCCAGTTGAACCCCGTCTCTATGAAAAAATACAAAAAAAATTGCCCGGGCCGGATTGGTGGCGGGTGCCTGTAAGTGTCCCAGCTTTCATTGGGAGGGCTGAGGCAGGAGGAATTGGCATGAATCCGGGAGGCGGAGCTTGCAGTGAGCCCCGGATCGCGCCACTGACTCCAGGCCTGGGTGACACTAGCGGGACTCCGTCTCAAAAAAAAAAAAAACTTTCTGCCATATAGTAGAGTTAGATTTTACTTCCTTTAGACTCCTAAAGAATAGCACTCACTGATGTACCTTCCAGTAACATATCTTATAGCAGATACTCAACGAATGTTTGGAATGAGAAAATGACCTGTGTGGATATCCAAGTGTATATCAAAATGTCTATATCCCAAAGTAGGCGAACTTGTCCTCCTTTGTTTCTAATGGCAAACTTCTTGGTTACCCACAGCTGAGTTTCCTAACAGGGGATTCCAGTCTCCTCATCCTTCCTCTATTCCTAACCTGGAGTTTTCGAACCAGGAGGCCATCAAACTCCCGAGGATTCCTCTGAATAGATCTCACCATTTCTCCATTTCTGGCAGGTCTTCCCCAAATTTATGAACTCATCACATAGAACCACTTTTTTTTTTCCCCGTTTTATTTTTTGTAGAGACAGGATCTTGCTGTGTTGCCCAGGCTGGTCTTGGACTCCCGGCTTCAAGTGATCCTCTTGCCTCCAAAGTGCTAGAACTACAGGCATGAGCCACCTCACCTAGCCCACTTCCTTTTTTGATTTATCCGGGAGTTCTGCCCCTATTGTGTGAGTCTCATAAAAACCAGTTTTTGTTTTTTTGGGTTTGTTTTGAGATGGAGTTTTGCTCTTGTTGCCTAGGCTGGCGTGTAATGGTGCGATCTTGACTCACCACAACCTCTGTCTCCTGGGTTCAAGCGATTCTCCTGCCTCAGCCTCCCAAGTAGCTGGGATTACAGGCCTACGCTACCACGCCCAGCTAATTTTGTATTTTTAGTAGAGACAGGGTTTCACCATGTTGGTCAGGCTGGTCTTGAACTCCCAACCTTAGGTGATCCACCCGCCTCAGCCTTCCGAAGTGCTGGCATTACAGGCGTGAGCCACTGCGCCTGGCCCCGATAAAAGCCTGTTTTAAAGACAGTTCGTTTTCTCCACTCATTTCTAAAAGGGAGTCATCAGTGGGCTGGGAAACTGAAGGACCCAATCCCAACCCATTCTCCTAGGGACTCACTGATTCGGCACAATCCCTCTTTCTCAGTGCCAGGACCTGCTGCTTAGAGTGGCCGTGGACACAGGCACCCAATACAATCGGATCTCTGCTGGATGTCTCAGCCGCCTGGGGTAAGAGTGGCCCAAAAAAGCAAATGGGGGACAGGGTTTCTTTTTGGGCTGATGAAAATATTCTCAGATTAGATAGTGACGACAGTTGCATATTTTATCTCAATAAAGCTGTTATTTAACAAAAGAGTGGCTAGAAGACTCTGGCAGAGAAGGCAAGGATTTAGACCCCACGTGAGGTCAGGGGTTGGAGGTGAACCCATAGTAGAGTGGGACGTCTGCTGATTAATGGGGTGAAGCCCACTGGGGGCTGTGGTAGCTATAACCTTTGCTTCCCAACCACAGGTTAGAGAAGAAGGTCCTAAAAGCCTCAGCTGGGGACCTGGCCCCTGGGCCCCCAACCCAGGTGGAGCAGTTGGAGCTACAGCTGGGGCAGGAGACCGTGGTGTGCTCGGCACAGGTGGTGGGTAAGTCCCCCCTTCTGCAACAGCCCTGGTGCTCGCCTCTCACCTTTCTCTTCAGGGTGGGGCAAAGGCAGAGACTTTCAGTCCCTGCAGCACAAGGAGTCCCCAGAGATATTCTGACCATCCCTCATCTCCGTGCCAGTGCCCTTGGATCTGGGGATGGGGTGGGCAGAGAAGGAGCAAGGGCTGAGAGGAGGGCAGCAGTGACCGCTGGGAACCCTCAGCCTCTTCGGTTTTCAAATGGTTCCTGCAGATGTCGAGAGTCCTGAATTCTGCCTGGGCCTGCAGACTCTGCTTTCTCTCAAGGTAAGGCACCCACACTCAGGGCCTGATCCAAAGCACCAGGAAAAAGTAGTAGAAGGCACAGGTGTAGAAGCTTGGACCAGGTTCTGATGAGAGTGACTTAGAGACTGGCAATTGTCCCTTTGCTTCCTTAGAGGTTCCTTACTCACCACCCAGTGAAAAGTCAAGAGAACTGGGTCACCCCCTCCAACAGGAGTCAAGGGAAATGGGGATAAGCGGGAGAGCAAAAGGCAGGTGGAAGCTGTGGGAAGTGGGAGGCAGGTGACGGGCTGAGGTGAGCCGGCATGACTGCTCTACACCCCACAGTGCTGCATCGACCTGGAGCGCGGAGTGCTGCGGCTGAAAGCCCCGTTCTCAGAGCTGCCCTTCCTGCCTCTGTACCAAGAACCTGGCCAGTGACTGCTGTCTCAGTCAGTCCCCAGAGGGAAAGACCTTGCCTTAGCAGAAGAGGCGTGTGGGGAACGGGTGCTCTTGAAGCCAGGTAGCTGGGGACTCCGGTGTCTGCCCTTTCAATCACCACCCTGAGCCCTGCTGTCCCATTTCCCCCAGCCGGCCACATTCCTCTCTGCTTCTCAGCAGCTGTCCTACTCCCCAGGGGGAGTTTTCACTAGAGCGCCCACGACGCCAGGTTTCTCATTCATTTCCCTCCAAGAAGAGCAAAGCCAAACCAGGACCACAGATGGGAGGCTAAGCAAAATGGGGTGCCTGCCTGGGCTGGGTCGAAGGCTCTGCTGACTGCTGTCCTTGCCCAGCACCCAATTCCACCCCAAACGCAACTCAACTTCCCACACCACCATGTCTCTCACCACACCTTCTGGGGCTCAGTATCTCCCACAATTACACTGCCACGCCTCACCAACCTGGGTCCCTGGACCTCCTGGTGTCTGCCTCTTGGATTCTGTGCACATCTGCACAGATGTGGGGGAAGAAACATGAGACAGAATTCAATACAACAAAGAGATGGAGTTAGTATAGGAATGTCCATCTCATAAGGCTGAGAGCTTTCATTAGTTATTTTTCTGGGGCTGCAAATGTCTGAAGCCAGTTATTGTTTGATTACCCTGTGCAAAACCTTGGACATACTTCTGCTATTAACGCTAGGTATTTATCCTTCTCTACTTGCTTTTTGTACCCACTGAGCCCCTGAACTTTGGGTGTGTGTGTGGCAGAGCCTTGTAGAGAACTGCTCCTACGAGGCAGACAGGACAGTGAGGCTGTCACCACTCAGACTGAACCTATTTAGTATTCTTTCTGATTTCTGGAACTACCCACCTCATTAGGCCTTCTTCCCATCCCCGTCTCTGGTCTCTTGAGCTTAAGCTCGCCTTGTCCTGGAATCAGTGGCTTTCTAACCCCCCGCCAGGCTTTGCCAAAGCAAAAAGACAGAGGCTTTTTCTTTTTTTTTTGAAGTTTGGGGTCTGTCAGGAGAGAGAGGCTTTTCTGAATTCACTGTGAAGAGAAGAACCCGAAGCTTCAGACGCCAGACCCCTGAGAGTCTTTCTGGCTGGTGTGAGTCTCTCAAATCATGGATTAGGAGTAAAGAAAGAGGCCGGGCGCAATGACTCATGCCTGTAATCCCAGCGCTTTGGGAGGCTGAGGCGGGCGGATGACTTAATGTCAGGAGTTTGAGACCAGCCTGGGTAATATGGCAGAACCCCATCTCTACTAAAAAATACAAAAAGTAGCCAGGTATGGTGGTGCTCACCTGTAATCCCAGCTACTTGGAAGGCTGAGGCACAAGATTGTTGTGAGCCAAGTTTGTGCCATTGGACTCCAGCTTGGGCGAAGGAGTGAGACCCAAGGAGTCTCCAAAAACAAACAAACAAACAGGGGGAGAGGAGGACAGTGGTAGAGCTAACCTGAACTGGGTGGGACCCTTGGGCTGAGACAGAGTCCTGAGCCTGGGGTAGACTGGGTTAGAGAAGAACCGGGGCCGGGCGCGGTGGCTCACGCCCTGTAATCCCAGCACTTTGGGAGGCCGAGGCGGGCGAATCACAAGGTCAGGAGGTCGAGACCACAGTGAAACCCCGTCTCTACTAAAAATACAAAAAATTAGCCGGGCGCAGTGGCGGTCCCCTGTAATCCCAGCTACTCAGGAGGCTGAGGCAGCAGAATGGCGTGAACCCAGGAGGTGGAGCTTGCAGTGAGCCGAGATCGCAGCCTGGGCAACAGCGCGAGACTCCATCTCAAAAAAAAAAAAAAGAGAAGAACCGGGATGCGAGGAGCTGCCTGTGACACCTGGCCTGACCTTTCCCGGCTGCCTCCCCTGCCCTCAGAAGGAAAGGAGAGGGGCTCACTTATCACGTGTGCCATAGTACCTGGTCTCTAAATCCTAAAAGCTTTCCTCTCCCTCACTGCCTTGCTCCACAAGGTCCGCTTTCCTGGGTCCTGTGCTGTGCCTTTCCTTGTCTGCCTCCTGCTGCTTCTGTAACTGCAGACCCCAGGCCCAGTGGCAAGCCCTCGGTTCAGCTGCTTCTCCATTGGAATAAACTCGTTTCTCTATGTCAATGTTCTCCTCTGGTCTTCCTCCCTGCCTGTCAAGAGCTGAATGATAACTCTGCCCGCTGTCCCTTACAGAAAGGAAATGGGAATGTGGGCCCTCGCCCAGGCTGCCCCACCTGACTAGGGTCAGTATAATTGAGAGCAATCTGAAAGCAATGGCTTTCCAACTCCTCTGACCACAGCAGGAATACATTTCACATGGCACTCAGTACACACGCGCACATATGACTGTAACAAAACAATACTTACCCACACTGCGAGCAATGTACTCTGCTGTTTTCTATTTTACTTTATTCTATTCTACCTATTCTAAAAATGCTGGCCATAATCCACCAAAGGACTGCAACCACAGTTTGAAAAACACCGACTTAGAGCACTGAGAATCAAGAACAGACGGCACATAAATGACCCAAGATATAATTCTGATTGTGGTCTGGATCATAAACCTGCATCACATTTTAAATGACTATTGTCTTAGAGACAATAAGCTTTTTTATGGGGGAATGGGTGGGTGGAAAAATGGGAGCAGGGCTTCTGAAGCTCACTAATACCTGAAGAATATGGCAACACGAGAAAGCACTGACCCAGCTGCTCTGGTAAATGGAGGAAAATCATCTCAGGGTTGCTAGGAACATGGGTGAGACCAGACTGTAGAAAGATCCCTCAAAACAAAACAGTTTGCCATTCCTTTAACAATTACCAACGTCAAGAACTTGGAATTATGCCATGGAAGACAGAGCTTAAGATGGGGTGGAGCCCTTACCTCCACTGCCCCCCTGGGCCTAAAACCTGGTTTCCTTATGGGTGTTGGGGCCACGCAAACAAGTCTCTGTTTTCAACACAGTCAAAGTGGGAAGTGGGACATGTCCCAGATGATCTGGAACAAGGCCAGGGTCCTAGGACCCCGCTGGAGTGATGGATGAGGTCCACAAGGAAATGGGCAGAGGGTCAACTTGTCTCTTCTTTCACCAAAAAGACTGCAAGGTCTATAGTTCATGGTCACCCTAGCGCTGCTGCCATCTTTCATATCCAGAGTCAAATCCTGCATTTCTGTAACGCATATTCCCTATCCTGCCAATATCACAGATACCTTTAGGGGGTAGGGTGGGGGTTCGGAAGAATCCTTCACCAGCTCTGAGGCAAGTACGGCTAGGTGGGATCCTGGAGGCTTGAGGAAGCACACTGTGGTGGCTGGTCTGGATGGTAGAGCGTTTGGTGAAGCAGGGCACGAGTCACAGGGAGGTCGTCAGGATCTGAGAGCCAAGAAGGGGTGGGTGAGAGGCTGTGGGTCTCCTGGGCACCTGGGCCACTGGCTTTTCTGGGACTCACCCACACCCAGCTCCTGCAGCAGGCTGTGGTACTCCGGCTTGGTTTCCAGCAGTTTCAGCAGATTGGTAGACTCCATCCGCTCCAGCTGCACCTCCCAGTACACATAGATCTTCTGGTTGAAAGTGACATATACGAGGCAGGGGCTGTTACGGCCCTCTTTGCAGGCATACAGGCCTGGAAGATGTGGGCAGGGAGACAAAGGTCAGGAAGTTTCAGTGCTGGTGGTGGGGGGCAGACAGCAAAACACAGACCTTCGAGTCAGCACTTCCTACCCTCCACTGATGTCCGGAAAAAAAGGAAAGGTTCTCTATTTGTTTTCTGTTAGGAACTCAGTAAAACAGATAAGATGGGAAAAGACCTGGCTCACTTCAGATGTAGAAAAACCATAGCAACAAAACCCAGGCAGAACAGAATCCAAAAAGGTGCTATTTGTTGATTTTCCCATCTTAGTGATACCCCTGGAGTGATGAGGGATGGCCTTGCTCGCCCAAGGGCGAGACTAGCAGAACACGATCAGAAAGTGAGGCTTCTCTTCGGTGCCAATCCCTCCTTCCAAAGGCATCCCCCAGTCACCCAGAGAGTGAGTGCTGCCTCCCAGGGCCCCTGACTTGGAACTAATGAAAATGTTCTAGGAGACCTTTCTCCACAGAGCCCTGGCATGCTCAGGTGGAAAAGAACTTCCTGATGTCTTCACACATCCCAGACCGACGACAGAAACTCATGCCATTCTTTAAAATATTCCGGGGTGGAGATGCTGCTGTCTTTTATTTCTTATTTAAGATTGTCAAGATGGCAATGTAGTGACCACCCCTCACCCCCAAACAAAAGAGCTGAAGAACTCATTGGTGAATGAAGACTTCCATCAGGGGATAGGGCAGAAAGGGAAGTGAGGGGCAAACACTTCCCTGGCATATCTAACACGCCTGTCTAACTTAAGTGTGGTCAGAAAGGGGCCATGAGGGCGGGGGTCACCTGCACAGAAGGCACGGATGTTTTCATCCACTTGGAAGCGGACAACGGTGCGGTTGTGGTCAATGATGTATGTCTGTCCATCCCAGGCGCATGCAACTACCTCCTCATGCCCGTTGCCCTGAAAAAGGCCAGAGATAAGGAACATAAAGGAGCTGCGGACTGGACTCTGGATGACAAACAGCCAGCTGGGGAGGAATTTCACCCATGGGCTGGGCAGTAAACGGGACTGTCAAATGAGCTGTCACATAATGCTCACAGCCACCGTAGGAAGTAGGCAATTCTATACTGAGGAAACCTCAGCTTGTAGAAATAGAGTCACTTACCCAAGGCCACTCAGCTAGGAGGCAGCAGAATCAGGACTCAAACCCAGGTCTGCCTCTTCTCCTAAACCAACAAGCATGCCTGACGACAATATAAAGTGTAGCCCCTGCCTGCTGATTCAGGGGCCATAGTGACATTAAATAGAGATTTATATATGGACAAGAAAAACCTACAAAATATGCCTCTGGAGTTGGGACGAATAACATACTTCCAGGCTCTTACAGTAACTTTTCTTTAGGGCTACTACTTCTGCTGAAGTTATGGAAATGACAGACTTCTAACAGCACGGTATAGCGTTAAATACGGTAGAGTAAGAGGAAACAAACTCGCTTCAGATGGATTTAGACCTATCTAAAGAGACTTAAGGCCGGGCACAGTGGCTTACGCCTGTGATTCCAACACTTTGGGAGGCCAAGACGAGAGGATTGCTTGAGCCCAGGAGTTTGAAACCATATATGGTGAGATCTCATCTTTACAAAAAGTTTAGGAAAATTAGCCAAGTGTGGGGGCACACGCCTGTAGTCCCAGCTTCTCAGGAGGTTGAGGTGACAGGATGGCTTCAGACAAAGGTTGCAGTGAACCAAGATCATGCCACTGCACTCCAGACTAGGTGATAGAGGGAAATCCTGTCTATCCTATCTAAAAAAGATAGAGGGAAATCCTATCTAAAAAAAGACACAGAGACTGAAGATAAAGGTTGGGAGTTCCCTGGGATGTGAGAATAGCCTGATTATTCCAAATCTCATCTCTCCATGTGGAAAATGCAAGAATGTTCTGCTCTGCCAGGTTTTCCACTCACGGTGACATCCAGTTTCTCCAGGGCAAAGAGCTGGTGATCCACCTGCACTGACCACAGCAGCTTGTCTGCTTCTTCCATTTCTTCCATGAGCTTCAGGGTCCCTGCCGGGGGGAGAGGCAGGCTGAGCGCGGGTGGGATAGGCCCCGAGCAGACCCTACAGGCATACAGCCCCCACGCCCCATCCCAGCATTGCTCACCATCCAGGGTGCACAGGGCAAAGAGGCCAGAGCCACTACTCTCAGTGCCGTGGCCTGTGGGTAGGACAGGAGGACCAGAGGAAGAAAACGTCAAGGGCAGGGCAAGGTCAGAGCCTACGGGGAGAGGGCTATTCTGCAGCAGCAGGGAAAGGACAGGGCTCGAAATGAGGGGCAAGCTATGGATCTCCACTCTCCCAGAACTGACGGCTGCCCCTCATCTCCCTCCCTCACCCCCACCGCACTTTCACCTTGTTTGATGTTGCCAATTAGGTGAGTGGAGACATTCTTGTTGTGGATACGGCCAGATGTCTGGTGCAGCACCACATCTCGGGTAGCTGGGGTCTCCCTGTACACGGGAGGGTGGAAGGATCAAGCGAGAGACCAAGTGAGCTGAGTTCTCCAGCCCTTTGTAACCCATATCCCTGCAAGAGCTTCTGGGATTTGAATCAGCTTAGAAACCTGCCACTGACCCTATCTGACCCATGTGGCAAAGAG